AGTGTCATTGGTACTGGATAGAGCTATTAGAGAGGAGGAAGACAGTAAAGGAAGCATGTCATTCATTACTAGTGATGTATGACAGGATCACTTCATAATCATTGATTAGAGTGTTTGTGTATAACTGGAACATTAAACATCATGAACCCCCATGCAATGGAAGTGTGTTAATTAACTGATTGTGGGAGTGGCTGGATATCATGGCTGGAGTTGATGAGGATTGTGGTGGGGATTGTGATGAACTGGATCATCTAGATGAAGCTCTTACTTAATCCAGGAGCTCCTTCAAGACTATGTTTAATAAAGGAGTCAAGTACCAGGCCTACTTGAACAGAGTTGTTGAAACTAAGAGGATCAATTAATGATGATCATCAGAATAATATTGGATTCAGTGTATATGGTAAAAATGACAATTTTTTTACTCCTAAATAGTATACATTGTAGATTTATTTGAGCAAGCTCTTCCAACTTGCCATGAAAAATGGCATAGTAGTAGCTAGTGCTTGTAATGGCAGTGGCATATCTAAGAGTTTGGAAAGGGGATGCCTAGGGCGCACGAAGCTCGCCGCGATTTTGACTACACCCATTATTTACAGCAGTAAAACAGTAATTTCCTTCTTTTTCATTAATTGTGGGTGGAGTCAAGTTAATTTGAAATATACGATAGCTCCTTAAAGAACTGGAAACTGCTGAAAAGGACTCCATGAGGGGGTGCTCAAGTCCCCTGACCCCTGACTGTCCCCTCAGCTGGTCAGCCACCCTTGATACACCCCTGAATAGAAAGTAAGTAGCTCAAAATGTTTTAGTGAGAATAAAGACGTCAATATACATCAGAAAATATAAAATATATTAGGGGTGATTTTTGAGCCATTTTTCAGAAAAAAGCTATAATAGTACTGGGATTTTGCCTATTTTAAAAAATGGTCATAACTAAAAAACTTAAGGATATACGGTACATGTATATGTGTTTGTATGTTGTGTTAAATGCACATTATGTCATAACTCAGCAATTTTTAACTTTTTATAAAACATAATACAGTACATGCATGCACATGTGTAAGACAATGTAGAAAATTTTAGAGCTACAGATTTTTAAGTAAATCATATTTTTAAAACCTTTAAATTTCATTGAGCATTTCAGTACAGCCTTAGTAAAGACATGTATATCAGTTAGTCTTATATTCTCTCTTTAGTTCAGTAAGAGACATCATTGCAGGAGGTGTGGGCATATGGTCTGTGCTCAATGCTCCTCTCACTATATGATTGTTGAAGGATACAGATCACAACAAAAAGTCTGTAACGACTGCCATGAGTACAACTTTATCACTAGGTGGGTAGCGTTATTATTATTGCAATAGAAATGATGCATGGTAAAAATATAGAGATTATTATTATTGTATTATACATGGACATGTACATAAGAGTATACTTTTGATGTGCATGTACATATATACATGTATGTATTTATTAGTAGTTACATGTCTTTTTTATTACTGTACAAGTACATGTACATTAAATGGGATAGAAATACTATTAATGATATAAATATAAATTATCATCTATTCTCAACACTACCTCTGATGATCCTCAACTCTCAGATAAAGAGGACGACATAGTGGCGCCCACTCAGTATTCATGGCAACTGTTGCCAGGCGACCCTCACTACAACGAGAACCTACGTACAGAGTTTTGCTATGAGGAGAGTCCCAGTACCACACTGTGCATGGTCATACTGGACTTACTGAGTGATGCTAAAGCCTGTGCTGGCTTTATACTTCACTGCTGTCATAATGTGTCAATGCAACTGGTGGCTGATGACTCTGGACGAGTTAATGAAGAAATTGATCATTATTTTAC